AAAGAAAGAAAGAAGACAAAGAAAAGAAAGAAAAAGGTGAGAGTCCATAAACTTGCTGGGCGTTGGTGGCACATGCCTTTAATCCCAGCACTCAGGAGGCAGGTAGATCTCTTTGAGTTTGAGACTAGCCTGGTCTACAGATAGAGCTAGTTGCAGGACAGGCTCCAAAGCAATACAGAGAAACCCTGTCTCAAAAAACCAAAGATTCCATAAACTTAGCAATAATAGCTATTATTTATTTGGTACTTTATGAGGGAAAGTATCAAGTGCCCCACCACACCCGTTTTAGAGCAAGACTTAGCAGGCCTTGAGCTTCCTATATAGATCAGACTGGCATGAAACCCAGAGATCACACCAAGTGCAGGCATGAGCCACCATGCCCAATACAAGTCTTTCTATAATTATTCTACCAAATCTTTAAGACAACCTTTTAAAAGATAGTTCCATTTGACAGATAAAGAAAACAGACTTAAAATCAAGCAAATTAGCCAAGAACAGCCACTGTGTGGGGGAAAGAGGGGATCAAAGGCTGCTTTTGCTCTACTTCTACTTTGTGGATCCTTGTCAGGCCCTGCTGGTCATGTACTCAGAAATAGTCCCTCGGTTCTTCACTTGGGCTCTAGACCATTCAAGAATACTAACTCTACTCCTTAATCTCAGCAGTGGTGGGCAAGGACAACATTTTTTGTTTTAACTTCTAAACCCCTTGAATTAAAAAAAAAAAAAAGCATCATCATACATCCTTTTTGAAGAGATTCTTGCAGAGAAAGACAACTATGTACACTTACAAGTACTCATTTTAATAGCAAAAAGCCACAATTCAGAAATGCTAATATTCAGCTTTTACAATTCCAGTTCCAGGAATTCCCTTTTAAATGAGATAATCCACTCAGAACATTTTCAGACTATTTTTAAATCTATAGATAGGATTCTGCAATGTCACTTAGGCTCACCAAGCCCATATATAGCTATCCACTGGCACTTAACAAGGGATTGGTCGCAGGATTCCACATGTCCCTCATTTAAAAAGGTGTAGTGTCTACATGAAAACTACACCCACTCTCCTAGACACGTCAAGTCACCTATAGATGACCTAATATTAAATACACTGTTAATACTATGTAAATTAAACATTGCTCAGAGAATAAGCACAAGAACGATTATAAATGTTTAGAAACATGCAATTTAAAAATACTTAGGTGGAAAACTATTTGTCAAGAGGAGACAACATGTATTTTAGAGGGCTGTTGTGAAAAGTTAGTGTGACACAAATAAACGGTCAATACAGTATAGGGGGGTTTTGCTGTTGTTTGAGACAGAGTTTGTCTGTGTAGCCCTGGCTGTCCTGTACTGTAGATCAGGATGGCTTCTGCCTCCCTAATGCTGAGATTAAAATTGTGTACCACCACTGTCCACTGCCAGGAAAGTATAGTTTTTACTATTTACTTTCTTCTATTCATCCAGAAGAACTTTAGTTTCATGGTTTTCAAATCATTATCTGCCACAAAATTTAGATTCTAAATGTTAATAGATTGTACTGTAGAATTGTACACTTGAATCAATGGGCTCCAAATAAAAACATTAAGAATTATGAACTCAGCCAGGTATGGAAGCCTTTAATACCAGCACTTGGGAGGAAGAGGAAGAGGGTCTCCATGAGTTCAAGGCCAGCCTGGTCTACAAAAATAGGAGTTCCAGGACAGCCAGGGCTGTTATACAGAGAAACCCTATCTTGAAAAACCAAAACAACAAAAACAAAAAACCAAAAATTATGAAAACTCAAGACTACCCAGAGAAACCTTGGGGAGGGGGACATGGGATGGGGACAGGAACAGGGGACAGACAGTTTCTACAGTACAATCTATTTATTTTTATTTTATATGTATGAATGCTTTGCCTAAATGTATGTTTGCATACCACAGCAGGTGGAGGCCAGGTTTCAGATTCCCTGGAAATGGAGTAACTAATGGTTATGAGCTGCCCTGTTGGTACTGAGAACCAAATCTTAGTACTTTTCTGCAAGAACTGTAAATGTCTCTCTAGCCCCATAGTCCAATTCATCAATGTACATAAATCTTCACTTCTCAGTTTCTTATAAAAACTGTCAAGTCCTATTACATTTTAGGTAAAGATATGCAGATCATTGCACTCAATACATTCTCTAGATCTTCCTATATGCCTTGGGGGGAAAGCCCAGAGTGTAGGGAGTATACAGACAGGTAATATAAAGGTTAAAGTGATTAAAATGTATATATTCTACAAACTCATAACAATGTATAATATTGTTACTTGTAGGACAGGAGAGATGGCTCAGTGGTTAAGAGCACTGGCTGCCCTTCCAGATGACCCCTGATCAATTCCCCAGCACCTACATGGCCACTCACACCTTGTAATTCAGTTCCAGGCAATCTGACACCATCACACCAATGCACATAAAATAAAAAAATTATTAAAAATATATTTATCATTGTTACTTGTAGCCAGATAATGGTGGTACATGCCTTTATTCCTAGCACTGGGTAGACAACAGTCAGACCAGGCCAGACCAGGCCATACTGGTCTATATAGCGAGTCCCACGATAGCCAAGAGTATGTAGTAAGACATAATGGTGGTACATGCCTTTATTCCTAGCACTGGGTAGACAACAGTCAGGCCAGGCCAGACCAGGCCATACTGGTCTACATAGCGAGTCCCACGATAGCCAAGGGTATGTAGTAAGACCCCCATCTCAAAAACCAAAACAATACATTTTTTAAAATGTAACATATAAGCCGGGCATTGGTGACACACGCCTTTAATCCCAGCACTTGGGAGGCAGAGGCAGGTGGATTTCTGTGAGTTCGAGGCCAGCCAGGTCCTATAGAGCGAGTGCCAAGATAGGCTCCAAAGCTACATAGAGAAACCCTGTCTCAAAAAACAAACAAACAAAAATCCGCTTGAGCTGATTTCTGTTTAAGACTCAGGATTTGATTAAGGATTTAAAATATTCAAGGTTATTATTCAAACAACAGATAACCTCTTAAAAGGAGTATCAAATATAATATCAGAATTATTATTTTTCTATCAGTATAGACTAAGCTTAGGACAATCCAGTCTTTATTTTAAAATTGTATAGAAAGTAAATAAGTAATTTTGGTTAACCCACAATCAACAATACATTCTATTGGTCATACAGTAAACAGTCAAGGTGTGGTCTGAAAAAATTATAAAGATGCAGGCATTTAGTAGCCACTTAGCACTATTTACCAGTTGACAAACGAGATTGCTATACATTTGTGTGTGTGTGTGTGGGGGGGGGTGGGATCAGGTAAATTTCCAAACAAAAACTTAATAAGGCAAAAATCAACCACACTCAGCTTGAACCAACCAAAAAAAAAAAAAAAATACACATACATATATTTTTATAATGCCCATCATATTCAACTACTGAGGGACTTCTTTAAACATGCTGTCTCTGTAAGACATAGGATGTCCATCCTCCTAGCCCTCCCAGGAGTTACTTCTTCCAGGCTTCCCAATGGACAAAGACCAGTGAGGGCCACCACAGGAAGCTTCCCTAAAGCACATTCTAATGGACAAAGACCAGTGAGGGCCACCACAGGAAGCTTCCCTAAAGCACAAACCACAAACTTCACATTCTCTTAAATAGAACAGAGCCTAGAAAGAAAAATAAACTTCAGAATGCTGAAATATCTAAGTGGCTGGCACACACCAGGCACATATTCATTAAAGGTATGTGTAACAGCCACAGAATATCAAGAGAACAGAAAATTCAGTAAATGAACACATGATGATATAATTTACCCCCTTAGCTTCATTGATTCAGAACCTGAGACTCCAAAGGTTAGAGAACTTGTCCATGGACACAGATATTTTGGAGCACAGCCATTCCTACATGATTCTGGCAGAGCTGCGTTCCTTTCAACAGGTTATACTATAATTATGGCTCATCACTTCAGCCCTTCGTACTGAAATATAGTTATCCAATCCATGTGAAAATATAGAGCTACAAGCTCTGCAAGAAGCAACTTGATGCTTCCAGTAGCCAATTATACTATTTCTCAAACATATACTAAGGTAACTAATGTGGAACGTTATCCATCTTAATATTTTATACCACCATCATAATTATTTCCCAGATGTGTTTAGTATTAAATAAAAATGTTTGGAGCAACTTGAACATGTAGTTCGTTATAACTGCAATGCATTATTGTTGTAAGCTTCCGGGTCAAGGGGAGTCATCCCATCATAGGTGAAAGTTAATCAGATATATATACAAGGTGGACAAATGAGGAGAACGTAGGGTGTAACTCTTGCGCCATTTGAGAGGCCCTGGGCTAGATCTATGACCAACAATGCAAAACAAAACAAACATAAAACCCCAGAAAAGAACTGTAACACGGGAAAATGATGCGATTTTTTGTGCTTCAAACTATTAAATGGATAAGCAGACATTAAACCCACAAAGGCAGCATCTAAGATTTAAAAATAGGGGGTGAAGCTGCTCACTATCTTCCTTGTCTCAAGTTTCTTCATCGTCTCTAACTACAGAAATATAATCTTTGGGAAAGACCCAAAATATGGAAAAGGAGAAAAGTGTGAAAATGAAGTATTCTGTCTGGTTAAAGGAGGTGGGGCCCAAGCACTACTCGACTACGGAGTGAACGATTGCTCAGGAACCCTAAGGCCCAGAAAAGAACCGTTTAAATTCTGACTCTTCAGAGGGCTTCTTCTCCATCGAGAAAGTGGTCGTGTTTGAAATCTCAATGCCCGTGTCTGAAAAGATTGTTTTTCTTCTCATAAATGCTGAAAATTACTAATTTCCATAACGTCAAAAAACATTTATTCTTCTCAAACAATGCCATTCTCCTATACTCTAACCACGCTTAAAAATACATCAGGCGCATTATTCCAACGCTTAAAAATACATCAGGCGCATTATTCCAACTAGCAGGAAACTTGGGGTGGGGGTGGCACTGTAGGTTGCTTAGCCTCTGACCTTTGTGGATTTCTAAGTACATGAGGTGCTTGAGAAAAGAGAAAATAACTCCGGATGGTGAAATTTGCAAAACATCTCAAACTCCAGTTGGCAGAAGGCTCTCCACAGCCAGTTGTCTTTGAAGAAAAGGATCCCGGGTGTATTTACCACCTACAAGCAGAAGGGAGCCGCGCCTCAACTAAACTCTAACATAAAGAACTTTACTCCAGTATACACAGCCAAAATGATGCAAAACCTGTAGTTGTCTTCAATGGAATTGCGCGAAGCCGGAATAATGAATGAACTGGAGCCATCACGACCGAGTTAGGGGCCTCACTTTCGGCCCAGCGGCAGAGTCTCCAAATCGTGGGGACTCGCGGGCTGGTCTGCTCCAAGGGGCGGCCCC